AAAGATTAAAAAAAAAAAAAAAAGAAAGTTCATATAACAGAAAAATAAAAAGAATTAATAATAATAATAATAATATTTCAAGACCGAATATTATTTTGACTTTTTCTTATTATTATTATTCCCTTCCAACTATTACTTAACCTTTTAACACATTACCTACTCCCATTGCCAATACCTTATATAAGCTGCACCTCCAAATTTCGTTATTCACATTCGAGTTTCTCATATATCACACATTGATTACAATAACAGTTTCAGCAAGCCACATACATATATCAACGGAAAATGTCCAAAGCCATCGTGTTTGTCGTATTGCTGTTTGTTTTCCCGGCAGCACAATCCGTAGATCACACTGTAGGCGGCTCCACCGGTTGGACGACAGGCTTCAACTACACCGAATGGGCTAGCCGCCAGACTTTTCGACTCAATGATAACCTCGGTAAGTTCAATTTCTACCTATATATATATAGTGGCTAGGCCTGTAAACTAGCCGACCTGAGCTCGATCTTAGATTACTCGAGCTCGAGCTCAAACCGCTAAATAAACGAGCCTGAAATCAAGCTCAAGCTCGGCTCGTTTATCACTAATAACGAGTTGATCTCGAGCATTAACAAGCCGAATTAAGAAAATATACAAATATTCTATTTTCGAGCCTTATCGAGCCGAGCTCAACCAAACGAGCTTTAAATGTGCTACAACTCAATTCGTTTATCTAACGAGCCGAGCTGAGCCAGACTCATTCAATTTAACAACACTAATAGCCGCTATCAAATCATATAATATATGCAGCAACGTAAAACAAAACTAACTAATACGACAAATTTGCGATCCAGTGTTCAACTTTGGTCCTCCTCATAGTGTGGATAGAGTGAACTCGGATGATTTTGGGAGCTGCAGCTCGGCGAGTCCCATCAGATCATACACAGCAAGCCCGGCCACTATCACCCTGAATACCACCGGTGAATGGTACTTCTTATGCCCTGTGCCCGGACACTGCTCAGGTGGCCAGAGGCTGTCGGTCAATGTTGCTGGAGGGTCCGCGCCGTCGACTCCGGGCGGCCCACCAGCGTCAGGGGGGTCCGCACCGTCAACTCCGGGAGGTCCACCGGCGGCTGGGGGGACTCCGGCGCCATCTGCCGCCACTGTTTTGGGCGAAGGTGGCGGTTTGGTGGTGGCTGGGTTGGTGTCACTTGTTATGGCGGGATTAATGGGCTAAGCCAAAATTTGTTTTTTCTATTTTTTTTTTCGGCGCATCTTAGTTATGTTTCGGTGTTGGCGAGTGGGGATTTAGTGTGTTTGTTCGTTTTCGTATTTTTTCTTATTTTGCTTCAATAATAATTTTATTTGGATTTGTCCTTTTTTCTTTGGTTTGTGAATGTGTAATGTTGCTGAGATAACTTTTTTTTTTTTCCTCTCGACAAGAATCACATATATTCAGAACAAGTGAGATGACTGTTAACTTGCGTTTTTTTTAATTTTTTAGACATATTGTTTAGGAAATAATAATTTATGAGAGATGTATGTGGTGGTGGTGCAACATGAACAATTAATTTGGAAAAAAAAAAAAACTTTCAAGATAAGTTCTAAAACTAAGACATTTCTGGCATAAAAGAAAAATTCACTCAACGAATCAAGTGTCTTTTTGACTAATGTAAGTGGGTAGTTGGTGACTTGGTGCTAGCCCAACTAACCTAATTCTCAATTTGCTCGAAAAAAAAAAAGTCAACTATCTTGTTCATTATTAAGGGTGAACGTGGGTCGTTACGGTTCGAAAATTGATAAATCTCCAGAACCGTACCAAAGTTCGGAGATCCCAAAATTCGATCTCCAGAACCGTACCAATAAGTCGATTCAGTTCAGTTCAGAAATTTTATTTTTCAGTTTGGTTCGATTCGGTATTCGGGACTATTAGGACGGTTCGATTCGGTATGATTTGGTTCGGATCTTCGGAGATTTCTTATTTTTTAGATTTTTTTTAATGACTACCTAGTTATATTTTAATTTTTATATGCTTTAAAAAAAACAACATTTATCAATAATTCACTATATTGAAGATTTTATTTAAAATCAATTTTAAAAGTAACTCTAAATTTTAGTTATTTAATTTTTATATATTTTAATAAAACCAAAATTCATCAATACTTCCTCATATTATTTTGAAATCAACTTTAGAAGTAACTCTAAATTTTAGTTAAGACTAAATTTGTGCAACTAATATTCAAAATTTAAAACTCAAACAAAATATAATATTTTTTTTTAAAAAAATTATTCTTTAACCTTTCATATTATTTTAATTAATTATTATATAATAAAAAAATTCAATTGTAGATCAAGTATTACTAAGCATGAAAATTAAGTGAAGGTTAATAGTTATTATTACTATATTATATAGGAACAAAGGTGACATAAAATATATTAATAACACATCTAATGTTATAATTCGGTTCTTAATTTCGGTTTTTCGGTTCGGTACGTATGGGACAGTTCGGTTCTCGGTACGGAAATTTGTGAAATCTCCAAAACCGTACCAATTATTTTTTCAGTTCGGTTCGGTTCGGAGAAAGTCAAACGGTCAACAATTATTTTTCGGTTCGGAGTGATTTCGGTTCGGTTTTCGAAACGATTCGAAATTCTCCAAGCCCCATGCTCAGCCCTATTCATTATTTCTACATATCTGCCTGTATCACTTTACTGATAATTCTTGCATTTTCTCACAATTCATATTTAATCCACCAGCCATGATTTAGCATGGAAGGATACTCTTCCTCTTCCAAAGCAAGCTCGCTCGCTCGAGTAGGTTTACCTAAAGACGAGCAAGTGAGTAATGCTACTTTGACATCATTTTTTTTTTTTCCATCAATAACGTGTCAGTGAGCGATTGATCAACCGTCGATTACTTTGCCACGTGTGTATTATGTCACACTTTATGCCAACCGACCGTTATGTTGCTAAAAAAGGTATAAACTGCTACCATGCACATATTCAACGAGAAATCAAAATTATCAAATTACAATTACCAAGCATTCTTACGTGAATATCTGAACTGGTTGTTTCATTGTTCAAGAATTCTTCTTTGGGCAGTTCATACCATCCCATACATAGTGTTTTGATCTAAGATTTCCATTTTTCCGTGTTTCAACAGTAACACTATTTTTTAACCATTTTCCCAATACCAGAGTACAAAGACCGACTAATTTACAAGAGAGAGAGAGAGAGAGCTTACATCGGGGGAGGATTTGTCCACCTCCTTTTCATCTCGGACTTGGACCTGACCTCCCTAAGCTTCCCATCCAACCCGTAGTCCCTCTCCATCACCAGGTCAATCCCTTCATCCGAGTACCACCCGACCCCTATGCAGAGAACACCGTCCTTCTTCACGTCGACGTAAGCTGTCACGCCACCTGGCAGCCACAGTACAGTCACGTCCTGCATATCCAGAATCTCCTCCTCTCCAAAGTAAACAGGGTTCTCGGGAAGGCTCCTCTTGTTGAGATTCTCCGTGCAGAGGTACACATAGGGAGCGGTGTTCCCTTCCTCGATTGTTAGATCCTCACCGTAGATTGGCGTGGCGCTCACCTCAAACACTTTCCAGGAGCCCGTGAGCTCCGATGGTTGGACCCTTTTTCTCTGGGAGAAGGGCTTCAGGTCCAAAGCCAGCTCGCTGTACGACATGTTTTGCTGACTAATTAGAACTTGTCTGTGTGCGTAAAACATCTTTTTTATATTTTTTTTAAGAGTAGTGAAAGGTAAAACCTGGTGATGGGGATATTGGATGGGCTGACCCATTCTTCTTCATATACCGCAACCCTCAGTATTTGGATATCTGAACCACCACTGCCGAACTCTATAGTATGTACTATGCGCAGTCTCTTGTGGCAACCTTTAACCAAACACTGAAGAAAGGGAAAAATATACTAATCCGACATCCGATAATATAATACAGGACCGTGATATGGAAAGAGAATAATTGCGAAGAGATAGATATCTGAAATTCGACATCGTCAAATTGTGAGTTTAAAGGAAAAATGGTAATTTGTAAATTAAACTGTGATAGTAGAAGGTGCGGGCCAGCGGCCACGGCTAAAGTAATGTTAGTTTGGATTAAGTAGACACCGGGATGAAACGTGAGCAACCAAAAACAATCTGCATGGCAAAGAGACACATACTTGCTCAAACTTGAAAGTAGGAGACAGATAGTATTCAGTCTCCTCTGAATCTCCGATTGGAATATCCACCGGGCCTCTGGAATATGATCCATCCTGAAAATTTATCCTGAAAATTTACTTATTGAACTTATACATGATGAAGTACAGGTAAGAATGAGCAGACTATTTATATGATACATTAAGAGAAACAAGTATTACCTCAAAGAAGACGAGACCAGGCTCAATGCACATCACATCTTCTTCCATCACATCACTGCCTCCGAAGTCGAACGACTCAATTGGGGGCAATGATGCATCATCGTGTTTTTTATCCCCACGAACACCTCCAATACTCTTAGCTTCACCATTAGGATTCAGCGGGATCCAATTTACTTTCCTATTTATTTGAGTACTCTGAACCCCAGAAGTGGAAGACAATGCCTCGATATGCGACAAAGTGTAGCAGTCGAATAAGTTCTCATTCCTACCCCCAATGTCAACCGGTTCCATCTCTGCCGTGATGGGTGAATATACGGCTCCCACTCCCTTCCATATCCCACTAACACTACTTACAAATGTATGCCATGAAGGCCGAATTACGGGCTCCTGTAACCGTGAAATCTTCTTGTTAATTTGAGTATGATGGAGAGAGTTGTGCCTTATGTAACCAAGTATGGAGCAATACAATCTTCTTTGGGTTACCAAAGCAGAGAATATAAGGCTTGAGGAAAAAAATGAACACAAATTGTTAGAATAGCAGGTTTATCTTCTCAGTCATAGATTTAGTGCATCAGATGGATCAATGGACCAAATTTTAGAACAATAAATGGCACTGCTTCACATTCCATTAAAAGAATCCCCCCCATAAACAGTGATCAGACTCTATTCACCTAACAGCGTATAGAAACCAGAATCAAGGTTTTGTATCCAGCACAAATTTCCACTCACCACATCAAGCTACTGGCTTCAGATCAGCTCTAAACTGCACCATAGGTACCTTTGTGAAGTTGAATGCCCTGTTATCATTATCTCTAATACATACTTGCAATGATATGCTAACGTAAAATTTTCAAATAACGTGTCATGGAATGGTCATATTTCTTGTCAGAAGTTAGCAGCTACGTTACATAATATATTTACCGACATGAGCAACAACAGATGGGAATGCAAAATCATATTTCATTTCAAAATCAAATCCAATTTGCACATAATCAACAACACAGACAACTGATATTACAAATGGCAGTGGGTGATATAGCATACCACAATATGACAAGAATTACGCTTGCAGCGGAAAATGATAATATGGCATAGCATACTCAAACGCACGAAACTGTAATTTAAGTCAAAATTAACAAAAATATGTAACGCGAGAACAGAATAGGCGATCATTCCACATTAATGCAAACTGCTAGGCCTAACTGAAATCCCTCAAACTTCAGATGAACATTACCTGTGTCTGCAAAACTGTTTCGACTTCCATTAACATCGAACCAGACACCATAACTTTACCACCTTTCCTGTTTACATGCCTCACTCTCTTTCGCCCCTTTCTCATCCTCCTCCTCCTCGCCATTCTCTCCTTTTCCTTCTCCGCTCTTGCTATCTCGTTGTCAATGCTCCACACGTTCTCCTTCCCCTTTGCTCGAACTCCCGTAACTCTTCTCTGATTTTGAACTCGAGGACCATTATTTCCGGTGAAATTGCACGAGATGCAGGGATAAGAACTGCGCCGGCGAGCTGAAGAAGAAGAGGAAATAGAGCGGTAATAAATCTGAATTCCATGGAATTGCAGCTGGAAGATGCTGCCCTTGAAGGTTTTGCAAGCATCTATACATGGCGATTGCATGATGTGTATTGTCTGCAAAATGAAGCTTTGAAATTGGGGATTTTGATTTTAGGGTTTGAGGAAACAGAGGTCTGGATGAGTCTGGTTGGGTAACAGTGTAACTGGACAAATTGGACATTTGGTTTATTTTTCAATAAAAAAAACAATAATTATTTATCAATCTCATCGAAAAATAACAATTTGTCTAAAATTATTCAACATTATAACATATATAATTTCATTTAAGGTTGTAAATAAAAATTAAATATTCATATATAAAATTACTATCATCTAGATTAATTTATCTTATAATATATAATAATGATCTACAAATATTACAATTGAGACATCTTTTCTTATATATAGATGTAGAGTTATTTAAATCGAATTCTCGAATGAAGTTCCATAATTTCATGCATCAGTTATATGCTTTTGTGATCATATATATAATTTATTGTGTTCAAGAACTGCACATATAAATATAGATTTTTAATTTTTATACATGCGTGGCATGACTTTTAATATACGATACTTGATTGATCGGAATTGTACATATATGTCAAAGGTTAATAATTTTCGTCATTATATTATTATTTTATATATGATATATTAAAATAATTATCATTAACAAATTTTGATTTGACATCCTATTCTATATAAAAATAATTAATTATATTTTACCTTTATAGTAATAACAAAACTATTTACCAATATTAAAAACTAACAAAAAATATTTATCAATTAAATAAATTTATTTTTTAATTCCAATTACATAATATTAATAAAAATATTATAATTTAATAGATAAGCCATACAATTGAAGAATGTATTTTTTAAAATAAATGATAGTAAAATTTTTAATAAATGCTTAAAACTTATAAAAATAAAATTGTCTCTTTGTTTTTTTTT